TCCATGCAAATTCTTTGTTTCCATGAGAAATTCCAAATCACTTCGTGTCAGATCCAACATCCGCGACATGGAAGCGTTCCAGTACGGCCAGTGAGACGAGATTCGAGACGAGATCACTCGACTTGAGACCGAGATCTCAACTCTCACTCACGCCATCGGTGACGATCCAGAGAATCTCCATACCCAGGTCCTTCAACTACGCACCCAACGGAACGACTTCGAACGTCACACCATATCTGTCCGAGAAGACCTTCACAACGCCGAGACTGACCGTGATCGTCTGCGGCTGGAAGCTGTTCAAACCGGAGAAGAGATCCGAGACCTGCAGGCGCAGATCCGCAGTCTGGAGCGTGAGGCTGACGATGTGAGTGCTGAAGCCGCCACCGCTCTCGCCAGCTATAACCGGATCTCCTCCAGCCTCACCCGCGCGCAGCCGGATCGCGGGAGAGATCCGTCTTCCAGCAGCTCCACTCGTCTAATCCAGGCGCACCGTGATCGTGCATTAGCAGATCTAGCGCTCGCCCAGGCAAACCTGACGTAGGTCACTTCCGATCGCGATCGAGCCTTCAAACAACTTGCCCAGGCCACCGAGGATCGAGATCGGGCGCTTGTCGATCGTGCTTCGGCCCTCCGCCTCCGTGATCATGCTGCTGCCGGACGCGATCAAGTTTGCTTGGACCTTCTCACCGAGACTGCCCGCACGGCCCAGCTCGACGACGATCTCGAGGTAGTTCGCCAGGAGCTTCAAGAGAGGGAGGGACAGATGTCGGATCTCCAGGCCACCCACGACCAACTCGCTGGGTTGCACGATCTGGCTGAGAACGATCTAAACGAGGCGGATATACTTCTCACACATCTCGCCAGCCATATGCGAGAGAGTCAGGCGATGCGGATGCCGAAGCGTGAGCGAAATCCGCCCAGTTCCCCGCCTCAATTACCTTCTCACAAGGCGCCTCGTAGTGATCGACCTTTTTCCCCGCCGCCCAACCGGGACCAGTCCGAGATCGAGGGCCAGGAGCACCAAGATCAGCCCGAGTTCGAGGGTCTGGACGACCAGGAGCTCGAAGAAAAACCTGAGACCCCAAGCGGAGGAGGGGGCAGCCCGGGCGATCACGACTCCCCTCCTCCAGATCACGGCCCTACGCCACCTCCTCCCTCGCCTTCACCGGGTCGTCGTCCCACGACTCCTCCTCCTTCACCTCCCAGGTCTCCTGGCGGAAGCCCTGGGGGCGGTTCCCCGGGGGGTGACTCACCAATCCAGCTACATCCGCCGTTTTTTCCCGCCGACCCCTGGATCCCCCATTATTCGACGCACTCGGCGGCCACCGAGATCTACCCGTGGGACCCGACTATCGTGGGAACTGTGCCGATCATAGCTATGATCCAAGCCACTGTGACGAAACGGATGCCGGTCCCGGCCAGTTTCCTATTTCCCTACCGAGTCCCTCCGGTTCGGGCACCCATACCCGTAGTCGGGTACCTATCGGGGTTGATCACCGGTGCCAACGTGTTGGCCCTTATGGCTACCGAGCCATGGCGCATGCTCGGCCGGCGTCGTCCTACTCCGTTGACCTTCGATCACAACTTTCACCGGCGAGCTCAGACCCCTCTGTCGTGTCGTATGCAGCCCTGGAGGAGGATCACATGATTGCGTACTGGGAATCGACCCATTATCTCGAGATCACGTCTGCGATGACCGACGCGGACTCAGATCTCTTCACCTATCATCAAGATCGACGTCAGCGACGGATCCGGGCTGGAGAGAGTTGGAAGAAGCTGTTGGGCGATGTTGTGCTGATGATGAGGGCACAGTGAGCCGACATCGACCTCCTCCTGAACCCTTATTTCCTCCACCTGCCGACAAAGCAGGATCGGGTACGTTGGTATCACGGATCGGTCTCCCGGGCGGCCAATCTCGCGCAGCCATCCGCTAACCTCCCAGATCCGGCTGACTTGATCATGGCCCTGTTTGAGTGTGATCAAGCGGGTCCCTGGAGGAATTACTACCGTGATCCCGGTTCCGTTCATCCGTCACGGAATATCCCTCGTCTCGTGAACAAGTTCAATCCTCCGGCGGCCCCTCCGGCGGCCCCTTGATCGCCGATCTGGTTTCCACTCTTCACCCACCTCCGAGATCTCTGATTTCCTCCCCAACACCCCGTTTCGTTCTGGTTGATCCCGTAATTCCTAATTCAGCCACATCTTCAGTTCGTTTGTTCTTTTCGTTGCCGTTCTCAAGTGATCTCTCTTCCCAATCGTCATATTTTCCGTGATCTCTTGTGACGGCGTCTAGATACATATATACAACATGAATTACCCGATCTCGGTCCTTCTGACCGATGTCCCCTCGGGGTCGAGGCGATCGGGTAGCCTCCCCCGTCCTCCTTACATCTCTTCATGTGATTGCATCACATTGAAGCGATTCCGGTTGGCCCTTTCTCGCAAGAAGGTGTTCAATATTGCCCCGCAGTTGAGATCGGCTTCGTCGACCCAGGTTGCCTCATCATATCCTGTCCAATGAACCAGGAATTCCCGTTAGATCCGACCAAATCGTGTCTTCTTTCCACTCCGCATATCAGAAATCCGCTCGACTTCATACTCATCGACCCCTAGATCCGGGACCCAACTGTCCTCCGGAAGCAGGATCTCGTCAAAATCGAGACGATCCGCCTCATCCACCGTGAGTTCCACCCGTGGTCGATCTGGAAAGTCCTTGACCAATTTCAACTTCGACACGTGTACCACTGGGAAGATCTGGTACCCTGTACCTGCAATCTCGAGTTCGGCGACCCGGAACGGCCCGTGCCAAAGGTGAGCCAATTTTCACGCGTATCCTTCCTTCACCCGATCTAGATATAACCAGATGCGAGATCCGGCTTCGGACTGGTGCGATCTGACATCCTCATTGTGTCGGTCGGCCCTATCTGCAATGACTTCCTTCAATCTAGCGTTGACTTGTTCTCGGGATCGCTGATAGTATCGTTGGACTCGATATCGCCACCGCCGCGCATCTCGATCGCGCCGTCCCGTGCATCCGACCGGAAGTGTAGCCTCCAATGTCGATCTCGAATCACACCCATGTACCAAATAATGAGGGGTATCTCCTCGTATCCGATCATGAGCCGTGTTGATCGCGAAGGTAAGGCGCTCAGCATATTCGTCCCAATCCTTCTGATCAGGATCGCGGACGTACATCTTGAGCGCTCTGGTCGTGGTCTGCACCATTCTCGCAGCAGTCCCGTTAGCCTGTGGACGATATGCCATCGTCCCCCGCTGCCGTTGCCTTAAGATCTTGCTAAACGCCCGGAAGAAATCGGACATGAAGCCGGGTTCTCGATCATGTCGGATCATCTCACTGGCACCAAATCGCCGAAATACACACCCGCAACCGTCTGGGCCGATCGGGACGAGCTGGCCTTCGCGATCACATATCCTGTGAACAGATCCACCCAGATCAGTAATTCAGTGTTCCCCTTGTGTGATCTGGGTAGCGACGGTATGTGATCCATCGCAATAATCTGGAACGGGTACGTCGCCTGCAAGTTCCCCGGTGATTCACCCCGGATCACTGGTCTTCCTTTTCCTGTCTCGCAATCCACACATTCCCCCACATATCGCTGAACGCTCCGGTATAATCCCCTCCAATGGAAGTGATCCCTGATCCGCTGGTAGGTTCGCCGCACTCCCTGGTGTCCTCCTTCCAACGTAGTGTGATAGTGGTGTAAAACGTCCGACTGTAGCGTTTCGGGGACTACCAATC